AGAACATGGGAAGAAATTGATCATAGTGATCTGTCAATGGTAGATAAACTGAAGTGGATTGGTTTGTGTGCTGCAGTTCCAGCAGTACTTAAACAAGATATCAAACTGAAAAAAAGGGAAATATCAATTGAAATTAGAAATGAACAGATACCCCTAATCATGCGAAGATCTATGTTGCAATTCTATATGGGATTTTTTAACTTACCGTAACAAACAACGCGCACACACACGTGACTTGATGGTGCGCCTATATTCGCAAGCGTAACACGTGACTGAATTTAAAGGCTGTGACAGGAATGTGGCAAAGGGGCTTTCATTTTTTTTTATTCAACAAATACATTTACATAAAAAAAATACAAAAAAAAAAAATAACAGCAAATGCTATTTGCCAACAGCTACTTAGCAAAATATAAACTAGTACGCTAAGTATTGCGCTAGTGGTCCCCATCGGTTTCTGAATAGGGCACTTTTGTCATTGAATCTGTCAAGACGTTTTTCTAAATTAAACACTTTCATTGATTGATATAAAGTTGTGAATAAAATAGCCCACTTTTTAAAAATTAATTTTGCACAGTTGTAAAAGTTGCACTTTGATTTTACAAAAGTTACTGAATAGCCCAATACTGATTCTTATGTTGGGGCTTACAATGTGTATTCGAGTAAATAGTTATATTAAGTTGGTCTGTAAATTTAAATTTTCAAAGGACAGTGCTTCGGTAATGTTCGGCGTGCTCGTCAACATTTGGTAACCTGGAGAGTCTATCTTTTGCGCGGTAAATTATCAAATCTAAGTATTCAAACAACTTGAAGCTAAGTTTTATTATTCCAAATACAATCAAATCATTGCCTAACATTTGCTACGCTCACGTTATTGGATCTCGGCACGTGCCGAAATTGTTAATCCTCTTTTTTTGCAGAGATATTACAGCAGTTGCGTTCAAATTAGTCGTGACCCACTTGGGAATCACGCCCTCTTTCTTCGTTCTGTTATTTGACTCAAAGAGGGAAAACGATACGCATCAATCTGATTAAAATAAGATCCTGGTTAGCTTAATTTTTTTTTTTATTTTTTTTTGATATAATTTACTATAATTATTATTATTTATTTTAATTATTTTGTAACGTTACAATTATTT